GCAGCCGAAACGAGTGAGGCTGTCTCCTGAAATGTTGAACGGGCCCTGAACTCGAATTTCCTGCAGCTTCCTTGTCACCACTCGTTTCTGTTCTGGTTTTTCTCAGTCGTTGAAAAATGCAGAAACCCCTCTGAGCTCAGGAACTGTAAAGACAGCAGCGGGCAGCCCCACCCCTGACTCGAGGCCACAGGGCCTGTCCTCCCGGGGGATGCACGGAGCTCATGGCCACCTCAGAGCCGGGCCACTGTCACTGCTGCCCGTGCTGGCGCAGCGGCTGGACCCGCAAGTAGTGGGTGGGCGTGGCCTACACCGGCACCGTCTGGCCAGTGCCCACGGTCAGCGACCAGGCCGGGAGGTGCTCTCCAGCTCAGTGTGGACCCAGCCTTGAACTGGAATCGGCTTGCATTTTCCTTGCAAGCCGGGTCGGTGTAGACAGCATTAGGGTCAGTCAGTGGGAAACCTGCGTCCCGGTGTCTGTAGGGAGAGGCCGCTGGGCTCAGAGCCCAGGGGCCGGGGAGCGCCCTTCGCTGGCACCTGGGAAGTGGCCCACAGAGCAAGCGCAGTTGCTGCAGACCCCGCACTGGGCCGGGACGTGGGGTCCTTTTCAGAGGGTGCTGGTGGCTCAGGAAAGCTGTGGTGGTGTTTGCTGGGGGCCGGGGCGGGTGTGGCCCACGGCACAGTGACAGTGGTGAGAGGAGGCACCAAGAGCTCCTGGGAGCCAGATGGCCCTGCATCCCCACCTCACCCCGCCCCGGCCGCCCCTCTCCTTCCGGTGTGGTGACCGCCTTCCCCGTGCCACAGTACGTCCCAGAGGACCTCCTTCCCGTGTACCGAGAGAGGGTGGTGCCAGTGGCGGACATCATAACACCCAACCAGTTCGAGGCAGAGTAAGTGCAGAGAGCCCCCGAGGGTCATGGGCAGCCATCCCCAGCCTGCTCTGGTCAGGGGTCGGGGCCTGGGGCATCACGGGCTCACCCAGCTCCCTCCTGGTCCTCAAGGACATGCTGCTTTGGGTCTCTCTCACTCACCTTTTTGGGGGCCCCTGACTTATTGAGAATCGGACACCAAGGAGAAACCAAACTGCCTGTCCCCCAGCACTGTCGGGGGTGAGGCCGCCCTGGATCCGTCCCCAAGGCCCCAGGCTCCATCCAAGGCCGGGCTTCCAGACCTGGGGACATCCACACAAGAGGTGGCATCTCGGGGTGCATGGGCTTCCTGTAGGGCTCCCCATCCCTCTTGTCCCCACCTCGCTGGTGCCATGGTCACAGTCCAGACCTGCCAGGGCTGTGGTGGACAGAAACCATGCTCTGCCCTGAGCCATGCACACAGCACGTGCCAAGGCGGCCCCGGGTTCACGGCCCTGCTCGCCTGTGTTCCAGGCTACTGAGTGGCAGGAGAATCCGCAGCCAGGAGGAGGCGCTGACGGTGAGCACCCCCAGGCCTACAGGGTGATGGGTGCTGTCCTCTGGGCGGCCTCCACACGCGCCTGCTCGGAAGACAGGTCTGCTGCGTGAGCTACCTGGGGGGCACCTGCCCCTGTGCGGCATTGTGAGAGGCTGGGTGTGAGCACGTATGTGCGGTAGTTGGTGTGTGGTGAGTGCCGCGTGTGTACATGTGTACTGGCGCCTGTGCCTGTTGTGTGTGGCAGGGCTGATGCTCTCACCCATGCCCCGCCCAGTGGCACAGGACCCAGCATGGTCCCACAGGCACAGCCAGAGGCAGCTGTTGCGAGGAGCTTTCGTGAGACCAGGAAAACCAACCTGGAGCCTGGTGTGGGGGACCCTGTCATCACAGACCCTGGGAGGCTGAGGCAGGAGGATTGCTAGTTTGAGCACAGCCTGGGCAACTTAGCAAGACCCTATTTCAAGATTAAAAAAAGCACTGGGGATGTCACTGAGCACAAGGACCCTGGGTTCAGTCCTAGCACTGAAAAAGAAAAAGCCAGCTTGGAGAGGGGCCACCCCAAGTTGCTGTTGGACCACTGTCTCCTGGCCTCTTGCCCTGGGCAGGTTGGGAGGCCCCGCTGTTCTGCCCAGGCCCCGCCCCTTCTGGTTCGAGGCCCCCAGCAGCAGGCGAGGCTCTGGCTTTGGCTCTGGACCTCAGCCCGAAGGCATTGAGGGTGGCAGATGCCCAGGACCCCGAAGCTCATCGCCGCTGCTTCTCTGCCGCCCACAGGTGATGGACGTGCTGCACTCCATGGGCCCTGACACTGTGGTCATCACCAGCTCCGACCTGCCCTCCCCTCGGGGCAGCGACTACCTGATCGCGCTGGGCAGCCAAAGGACCCGTGAGTGCTGCCTGCCTTGCACTGCCCACCTTTAGGTGTCAGTCACCTGTGATCCTAGCACTGTGGGAGGCTGAGGCAGGAGGATCACAAATTCATCCCAGACAGCAGCTGAGCAACTTAGGGAGACCCTGTGTCCAAAACAAATTTCAAAAGGCCTGTGATATAGCTCAGTGCAAGGCCCTGTGTTTAATCTCTTGTACTGAAGAAAAGTTTTTGCTCAGTAGAGGAAAATGACATGTTAGTGAGTGTCAGTGAGTGGTTAATTTCCAGAGCTCCCATTGGCTCTGAGGCCAAGACGGGTATGGGTTGGGGCCCGCATTGAGTGTACACAGCTCAGCACTGCCAGTCCCCAAGGCTGCCATCGTGGCCCAAGGGTGGCAGCACCATGCTGCTCTGAGCCCAAGCTCCGCTGACCAGCTCGTCCCCCCAGGGCGGCCCGACGGCTCTACAGTGACCCAGCGCATCCGGATGGAGATGCTCAAGGTGGACGCCGTCTTTGTGGGCACCGGCGACCTCTTTGCCGCCATGCTGCTTGCCTGGACTCACAAGCACCCCGACAATCTCAAGGTCAGAGCCCTGCTGCCCCTGGGGTGCCTGGGGGAGGAGCACAAGACCACCTGGAAGTGGGGCATTCGGCGAGAAGCAGGGGGCTCAGGGCACAGGTCCAGCAGCTGCACCTCATTACCTGCACTGTCTGCAGAAGGCAGCGTGGTGCCGGTGCCCCTGCTCTGGGCCTGTGGGTGGCTGGGGCCGGGTGGGGTGGGGGCCTGGCGTGGACGCTGTCTGCCCTGGCAGAGCCCGGCTGAGCACCCAGGGGCCGGCAAAGTGAGCCCCAAGCTGGGTTTCAGGCACGCGGGTCCACGGGGGGACAGGGCTGATTACAGGCTGCCACTGGGTGTCTGCTCTCCTGCCTCACTGCGAGAGGCTGTTCAAATCGTGCTATTCAGCACCACAGCAGACGGTGGTGCTGTGGAGAGTGGGCGGGCAGGACTGGCGCTACTGCAGCACACCTGGAAAGCCACTCCGGGCGCAGCCCTTGCCGTGTGTGAAGGGCAGGAAAAAGGACCCAACCCCCTGTCACTGTTGGGGACACTTGGGAAGAGGGGTGAGGAGTGTAAGTCTGCAGCAGCCTCACGGGACGCTGACTGGGAACCTGCAGGGACCTCGTCCCCCAGTTAGGGCGCTTGACCTGAGCTCAGCTGGCAGAGGATAAAGAGCCCGATCACAGCAGATCACAGCACAGGACGTTGGCCTGCCTGGGACCAGCCAGCGACAAACCCTGAGCTGAAGGCCAGGGCCCGTCCTCTTGCCGTGTCCCCTAGAGGGCAGCACCGAGCCGGGCCCTGGGTGTGCCTTGCTGCAGGAGATGCCAGCTGGCATCCAGAGGGGCCGAGACCCTGCTCAGCCAGTCCAGGGTTGTGGGGTTGGGCCAAGTCTCCCAGGACTTTGACCTTGAGATGTCAGCAGGGATGACCTTAGCTGCCTCCCCAGCTTGAGCACTTTCTCCTGTACAGTCTTCAGAACTGACTCCAGGACCCTTGATATGTGCTTGCCGCACGCCAGGCAGTGTTGCAAAGGCCCGGGATGTGGCCCCTTCCTGCCTAGTGCCTCCAGGGTGCAGGAGGTAGATGACATAGTGTGTGGCATCTATGGGGCTGTGAGTTGCTTTCCGTCACCATAATAAGATCCCTGAGGTTGCCAGACAGGGTGGCGCACACCTGTAATCCCAGCATTGGGAGCCTCAGGCAGCAGGATCACCAGAAGTTTGAGGCCCGGCTGGACTATACAGGGTAACTGTCTCAGAAAAGCAAAAACACCACTGCCTCGTAAGCACAAGGTCCCAAGTTCGATCCCCGGTACCAAAAAAAACCAGAAAAGCAAAAACAAAAGGAAACTCCTAGCAGTCAGAGATGCATATTGAGGGGAGGCACTCGGCCCATAGCCTGGGGTCCTTGCCCCACTGGGTCAGCCCGTTCTTCTGGGATGGTGGCAGTGCAATGGTGGGAACAGGTGATGGTCACAGAGGGAGAGGAAGGGAGCAGCATCTGGGTCTCTGAGGTCAGCACAGCCAGTGACCCGAGGGCCTCCATGCCTGGGGACCCTGGCCACCCCACTGCCGTTCCCCAGCCACTTCCTCTAGCCTGTGCCACCATGGCATTGGGGCTGGCCTGTCTGGTGGAGCCACTCCTGGAGGTGGGCAGCCGGCAGGAGGGGTGTGGCGAACAGCACGGCTTCTTGCCCTGCAGGTGGCCTGTGAGAAGACCGTGTCGGCCATGCACCATGTTTTGCAGAGGACCATCCGGTGTGCCAAAGGTACCACGCTGTGCCCGGCCTGGGGACACGCGGGTGGGACGAGGCAGCCCACGCTGCACAGCAGGGCCAGGGAGGATCAGTGTGGGGCCTGGACCAAGGTGTGACCCCCAGCCTGGCCCCGCCACTGTCCTGCAGCCCAGGCCGGGGAAGGACACAAGCCCAGCCCGGCCCAGCTAGAGCTGAGGATGGTGCAGAGTAAGAAGGACATCGAGGACCCGGAGATCGTCGTCCAGGCCACCGTACTGTGAGGACTGTGCTCACCCGACACAGCCTGCTGGTGTCTCGTCTCGTCCTGTGAACCTGTAACGTCTGCCTTAGCGCTGTGACCAAAACTCAGCATTCCTCCCCTCGTGATCTGGCGTTGCCGCTCGGCTGTGAAAACCTGCCAGTTTTTTGCTACGACCCACACAGCAGCCCGTCGGTGTGGTGTGGACCCCGCGCCCCCGGTCCAGGCTGGGTCCGCGTGGGTGTGGCCCATGGGGCAGTGGCTGGCCCGCTGCCCTGCAGACCCTGGGGTTGGCGGCCTCTGTCGTGAGTGGGGCGTGGCCGTGGCATCCGGGAGAACCACACCACCTGTGTGCTGTCACCCTGGTCTCCGCCTGTCTGTCCCTGCATTAGAATCTCTGTCATCATCTGCTGCCCACTGGGTCTCTGGGGCACCCCCATCCCCGTACGCAGCCACTGGACCACAGATTCCTGTGCCATGGTCACCACGGCGGGGACCTCAGCCCAGTGCCTCCCGTAGGCCTGCAGACCTCGTGGGCGGCAGCGGCATTTCCTGTGACTTGGGGGTGACTGCGAGGCACCTGCCACGCACTGGAGGGATGGGCTCTGTGCATTCACCACACCGCTGCTGTGTGCTGGGCTCTCCGGAGGGTGCCAGGGAGAAATGGGGCCCTGCGGCTCCAGGAGAGCAGGTGTCGTGTGTCCCAGGGCCTCCCCAGGAGTGGCAGGAAGATGCCGCCTGGTTGCGAGTCCCTCACTGTGCCTCGAGGCCAGTGCCGTGCTCCCTGGGCGAGCCTCCCGTCCCCAGCGTTGATGGGATTTTCCTGGTCCCTGCGGCCCCTCTGAGCCTGGCACAGCGGAGCAGCAGGAGGGAGGCGGCCCCATCCCTCCTGCTTTTTCCTGTCTCCCTCCCTCCACTCCTCTTCAGCGCAGAGCGAACCGTGTGTATCTCCCAGGTGAACATCGCTCCATCCCCGGGGTGCAGCATAGGCGTGGGGACGACGCTGCGTTGGGCTTCAGGGCAGGGCCCTGTCTGAGGCAAGTCCCTTCAACTGTGCTCAGCGGCCTGGTTCCTCGGGGATGTGGTCTGTGCCCGTGTCACACACAGGTGACAAGTTCCCCACTCCAGAGAGCTTCCCAAAGCACTGTGAACTCAGGCTCAGCTGGAAACTGCCCAAACAGCTGTTGGCATGGGTCGGGGAGGCCGTGGGGTCCAGGGACTGAGCAGGAGGAAGTGGGGGCCTCACGAGGATGGCTCGGGTCTTGAGAGGCAGGGACGTGGGTGGGAGCGATGTTAGGGCCTAGGATGCAGCCCCACGGGCAGTGCTCACCCTGCGCCACAGGCAGGAGGAAGGAGGGAGGGAGAGAAGGGGCGCATCCTCAGAGCGCTGTCCTGCCCGACTGCCCGCCCCCAAGCCTGGGGCTCCTCTGCATCCAGTGTGAGTCCTGGCTCCCGCGGGCTGTTCCTCAGGACGGTGTGGCCCAGCCCAGGGGACATCCTGGGTCCACACAGAGCTCCCCATTGGAGAAGGTGGCAGCGGGCGCTGGTAGCGTTCTGGACACAGCTTGGGTCCAATCACCCTTTGTTTTTTCCGTCCGCAGTGACATACACTAATGTGCTGATTCATTTTGAAAGGAAAGCTGTTAGCCCCTGTTGTCTGCTTATTCTTAGGAGACAGGATTTTAATACTTTCTTAATCAAGACCGTAGGAAGGAACTGATGAGTATGGTCTTTTTAATCAATTTTAAATCATTGTCTCGTCCTGCAAAGGTAACTGTGGGCCTTGCTCGGTTCTCTGTGGTCTCCATCAGTGATTGTAAACAAGACACCTCCTTTCCTGTCCTGTCCTTAAAGCTGTTGCTTCCAGTTTTTAAAACGTGTAGTTTTTCAGGGGACCAAGCCAGCCCCACTTGCTGCACTGCGGGGTGGAAGGGTTGCTTTACAGCAGATGGTGGCTGCCCAGTCCCTGTGGTGCCGATCACCCTGCCCTGTCCCCAGTCGGTGCGCCGTCATTGAGGAAGGCAGGCTGCCGGGTCCCTGGCTTCAGGACGGCTCCTGACCGACACCATCCCCCCCTTCAGCCTTCTGCCCTCTCCCAGGACAGCACAGGTTGGGAGGGGACAGTGTTCACAGGGTCCCCTTCCGTGCTGCTCCTAGGGCCTCTGTCCTGTCCCTGTCCTCCGGGCCAGAGAATGGTGCTGGAGTTTGAGGGGCAGAGGGCACAAAGCACTGGTGGTAGCTTCCCGGGGACTCCATCTGCCCCAGGGTGTTGGCAGTGATCGGCCCCTCCTGCTGCCAGGGGCAGGGCCTTCCTTCCCTCCAGTTGTGCACACAGCGCCGAGCAGGAAGTCCCAGGGAGAACTGGGTGTGTCGGAAGAGCACGCGGATGGGTGCTGACCACAGGGCACCCTGAGGCCGGTCCTGGGCGTGCAGGTCCTGTGTGAGCTCCTGGCCAGGGAGGCCTTGAACTTGGGCACAGGGCGTGCAGAATCTTGTGCTCCTTTTAGTAACTGGTCGCTGCCTCTGCTGTGCACTTCCGGCCTCCACCAGCAGGGGTCGCCTTGAGCCAGAGGTGTTTGCTCCCTGGCCTTCTCGGGTACTTGAAATATTCTTTGCCCTCTGCAGTACCAGGGAGCGATCAGCTACATTCCAGCTCTCTGTAAGTGTTCTGGTGGGCCCTCATCCACTCCTTCCGGCTGGCCTTGAACTTTGCAGCCTCTGAGTGCTGGGGTTATGGGCACCAGCCTGAGGCTGTGTGTGCAGGCAACTTTGGGTTTGTGTGAATTTTCCTATGCCCAACTGGTGTGTGTCTCCTCACCCCCTTCCCACGACTGCCGGGCTGCAGGGCTGGAGTCACTGTTACCCGAGCTGTGCCCATCTCTGGCAGAGCGCAGATGCTTTCTGCTCTCCATGCACGAAGCCAGAGCTTTGTGAGGAGACCAAGTCAGTCCCCAGTCGGCCTAGTGGTGCAGCCCGCTGCGGACCCCCATTCATGGAGTCCTGTCCTTGCCAGGCCTCTCCTTCCTCCCCGAAGCTGTTTCTGCTCTTTTTGCAACTGGGCGGCACTTTGGGTGGGAAAGGCCTTCACTAGCCACCTGGCCGGGGAGCACCGCCGTGAGCGGCAGCACCGTTCCTGTCTGGAGCTGGGCTGTGGCTCCTGAGGCCAAGTTGTGCTGTCACAAGGGACCCAGCTTGGGGACGAGGAGTGTGCGCTGGGGCCGGCAGGACAGACAGAATCTGCAGATGTGGCAGAGCCCACTGGTGTGTCCCACGGCGGGCAGTGGGGGCCCAGGAGGTTCCCGTGGCACACAGATGGTTTCTGCGTGGCTGTGCATATGAGATGGGAGGGAACTCACCTGCTCCATGGGTCCAAAGTGGGCACCCTGTGAGTGCTTTCAGCTTCGGGGCTGCGCAGCCCCTGGTACAGCTGGGATTTCTCCAGTCACTGCAGAACTGGACCGACAGGAAGAGGCTCGGCCTTTAGGAGGCTCCTCCCCTGGCGGGCAAAGCACGTCGCCCATAGGCCCTGCCGTGGTCAGTGGTCAGGGAGCCCCGTGTCTGTAAATGTGACCTCCTCCCATGCTCTCGTGTAGGCCTTCTCTGTGTTGTGCTGGTCCTGTTGACTTAGATGATTATCCACAAATAAATATTTTCATGCAACTGCGCGGCAGTGCCATGGTCTCTTTCCGCCTGTTCCGTCAGGGGCACAGCCAGCCAAGCTGAGTGACCCTGTTACAGAAGGAATTTGCAAGTGACACGCAGAGAGGCAGCAGAATGGAAGTAAAATAACAAATTTACACATTGACAAGGGTCGATCGCACATAAACCGTGCCTGGATCAACCACACGCTAGGTTACAACTCCCCTTTTTAACAGGGTTTCACGGCCTTGACTTCATTCGGGTGGTTACATTGCATTCTCACAATCCACGTTGTTGATCACGGTCGCAAGACAGTTGAATTTCAACCCAGATGCAGCACTCCTTTTTGTGAGGGGAGTTTACTTTTAAGATTCACCTAGCTATCTATCCTAGTCCAGGGGAAGGGGCATTCCTGGTCAGGAAAACAAAGTTAATGACTCTTTTCATCTTTACAATCATGCAGTTTGAGGGAGACTAAATGCCTCTGGTGCTGGTCAATTCTGAACTAAAGGGCAGAGGTTACCTTACATCGTGACACTTCCCAGGTTTTTGCTATTAAAGTGCTCTCTATGGACCCCAGGCTCCCCTGGATGGAAAGGGCGTGGCCAAGGTCCTCACATCCTGCTCTTGTTCTCACTTTTGGGGTTCCTGCAGGAGTCCCTGGGAGGTTTGGAGGATGAAGGGGAGGTGGGGGGCCACTTCCCAGCTCTTCTCTGCTGGACCCTTGGGCCTGAGGACGGCTCCAGACATGGCCCAGTGTCTGCTCCTTCATGCCGGGGTGGTGACGCTGCAATGCTGTTAGCTTGCTGGAAGGGCTGCCGAGACCAGCAGAGGCAGGGAGGCTCCCGGGCACGGGGCCCTGAGGGGGCCCACACCGGAGAAGAACAGTGGTGAGCAGGGGTTTCGGCCCTCTGCAGGGACACCTGGGAGTGCTCAGGTGGAGCAGAGTCCTACACCAGTGTTGCCTTCTGGCATAAAGGAGGCCTGGAGAGCCAGTGTCCTGGCCTGTGCGTGTCCAGAGACAGCAGGGCTGCTGGAGTGCAGAGCTGGGTCCCAGGCAGGGTAGAGAGGGGCCTGTGCCACCCCTGCAGCCATGTCCTCTCCTGCACAAGTGCGCTGGTGCTCCGGCTCTTACCGGGGAGAGCAGATCCAGCCTCCCAGCACTGGCTCTGCTCCCCAGGGAAGGGACACAGGGCAGGAGTTTAACAGCGTGCACTGGGGCAGCGCAGCCCTGCGGAGATGGGCACCTTGTCTCCTGCAGTGGGGACATTTCTGCTTCCCTTGGAGGTGGAGACCTCAGGACCAGCTGGTCCATGCCCAGCTGGGTGCTGGCCCACAGCTTGTAGATGGGCCAGCTGTGTGTTCCGTGATGAAGAATTCAAGCATTCTGTGAGTTCTCTGGCATTTCCTAAGATCAGGCTCCTACCCTTTCTCACCCGAAGCCTGCATGAACCTGCCATGTCCTGAATGAACCTGGGTGCGATGGGTCAGGAGAGGAGCCGAAGGAAGTGGGTCTCCCTGGTGACTTTCTCCTCACAGTACCACCTCTGGTCCAGGTCTTCCATGCCTCCTTCCTTCCTGTCTTGATTTCTTCTGTCCTCCTCCGCAGGACCCATTAGCTCCTCTGGCTGCCCGCCCTGACCCTCTAGCTCAAGGGCAGTGTGCAGGAACTGTGCGGCCCTCGCTGGAGTGGCTGTCCCCTCTGGGAGCCCAAGTGAGGACCTGGGGCTTGGCCAGGGCCAAGGATGGGTGACACAACGCACTGCTGGTGTGGTCCTGGGGCACAGGCTGCTCCCCAGCTTCCTGCGCCATTTGTGAGCACCGGAGGCTTGGGGGGACAGTGTACCCTGGCTCCTTGGCATCTGGAAGGGTCCCCTGTGCAGTGTGACTGTCACCAACTGTTCTGCTGGTCAGGAGCACGGCCGTGTGACCACGGCCCTGTGCCAGGACAAGTGGCACATCCATGGGGCCATGACAGTGCCAAGGTCCTTAGCCACCCCCAAAAACCAAGCTGAGCCCTTGCCCTACAGATGGATCAGTCAGTAAATGGACTGACGGACAGGTCACTACAGGGCCAGGCCCACTTGGGGCTGAGGCCGGAGGACTTCTATGAGTTCCTGGCCAGCCTCAATTAGAGCGAGATCCTGTCTTAAAAAAACAGTGACATGGGGTCTTTCCTTTTTTTCCTGTCTCTCTCCCTCCCGTTTTTTCAGTATAGGGGTTGAACCCTGGGTCTTCACACTGAGCTACATCTCCAGCACTATTTACTTAGAGACAGGGTCTCACTGAGTCACTAAATCACCTAGGAAGGGCTAGAGCTTGTGATCCTCCTGCCTCATCCTCCGGGAGTGCTGAGATTACAGGTGTGGCCACCACACCTTGCTGGAGACTTCAGTCCTCAGCAGGGGAGGGACTTGGCAGTCCCCAGTGCTTCTCCTGATGCTGTGCAACGAAGCCAGTAGGCTGGGAGGGGACCACAGCTTCCTGGCAATGTCTGGTCCCTCTGCCCACTTGTACCTGAACCAGGCTGGTGCAGCGGCAGCTCCCAGCCCTGCCCAAGACCCGCTGTTTCCTCCTGCTGCTGAGGCTTCCAACCCAACCCAGCTGTCCCCTGCACCAAGGCCAGGGCTCCTGCTCGGCCCCTCCTGAGCCCTGTGGCACCTGCCCTGCCTGCTGGACTCGCCTGGTGGGAAACTGACCAAGTCCTCACTTCAGTGAACAAGTTTCCTTCTCCGCACTGAGGCTCGCACCCAGGGCCTCACACATGCCAGTGAGTGCTGCACTCCAGGCCGCACCCAGCCCTGGTCTGTTCCCAAGACCGCAACAAACGATGCCTGGCCATCACCCAGAGGTCCCCACCCCACAGGCCTCACGTTGGCGTCACCCATCTGCATCGAGTGACACAAGGCGCAGCTTGCCCGGGGCCGCCCGTTCCCAAGGCTAGAGATCCAGCCGCAGGGTCAGGGTGCAGGGGCACTTCCCCAGGTGCCGCCTGCTAGGCGCGCATGGGTGCCCAGGTCCCACATCTCAGTACGGAGTGCACCTGTGTCCACGTGGACCAAGGACTCGCACCTGGGAACCGATTTACTGGAAACCTTTATTACATGGGGAAACTGAGGCTCAGGGGCAGTGCCTGGGCCAGGCGGGTCCTGCTGGGGTACTGGCTCTCCACGCCCCACTGTGACTCGGGCCGACACCCAGTGTCACCCCGGCAGGGACAGCTTTGTCAGCATGAATCACGCTCCCCTGCACATCTGGTTTCAGATGAAGAAAAATCCAAGACAAGGAGCCATCAGTAAAGAATTAAAAAATACAGATTTAAAGATCGATAATGTAGAGGCCTCTGGGAAACAAGATCATTAATTGGGAGGGGCAACCACGCAGACACTGTGGGACCAAGTGTGAGAGCAGCTGCTGCGCCTGCCGAGTGGCACCACAGGACCGTCTACGTCGCGCTCCCCAACACGGGCCACTGGGCGATGGGGTGGATGGGGTGCGTGGGGCCATGGCCTAGAAATACTCCAGCTCATCCTGCCTGGACTTGTTGGTCTGGTAGGCGACCAGCACTGCGGCTTTGTTCTCATGCGCGAGGCCCTGGAACACCCGCAAGTGCAAGAAGTTCTCGTCCCCGATGTGCACCTGGAGAAGGGACAGTGAGGAGAGGGCTGCCCACCCGCTCCCTGGCCCCTGGGAAAGGCTGCACCCACATCTCTACAATCACACGTGCAGGGGGCCGTGACCCCCCAAAGCCAGGGGAGCCCTGAGACCACCTACCTTGATGAAGTAGTTGATCCCTGCCACCACCTGGGTCTTGTAAGACACAGCCTCGAACACAGGGTACTTCCGGTTTTCCTTCTCTTCAAGCTGGGGTTTCACCTGGGGGTGGGGAAGGGGATGGGCTGAGCAGGGACCACAAGGACCTCCCGGGCCACCCTGACAGTCATTCCTCACACAGGGGTGAGCTGGCGGTCAGCTCCAGGGACGATGTGGAAGAAACCAGTTCCTTCTGGGGCTTGCTCAGAATGCCCTTGGCCCTTCTGTGGGGTGGAGGACGTTTCAGTATTTTTATCACTGCATTACAACATGATGTACAAACGTAAACAAGTTTTTTTCACTTCATATGCAAACATTTCAACTGACAGACTGTACACCATTGTTATTATCATTATTATTATTATTATTATTATTCTTTTTGGACACAGGGTCTCACTATGTGGTTGAGACTGACCTGGAACTCACTATATAGCCTAGGATGGTCTCAAACTCACAGCGATCCTCCTGCCTCAGCCTCGCGAGTGCTGGGATTACAGTCATGTGCCACCACGCCAGGCCCTGTGTGGCATTTTTACCCAACCTCATACTTGCTACTTCATTGGTGCCGGGGACTGAACCCAGGTCCTCCCGCTGAGCTGGGCCCCCAGCCCTGACTCCCCCGCCCCGTTACTTACTGTTTTCCAGGCAGCATACCCATAGGTTCATGTATTTAAAGGGTAAGGCAATAAAGAGAATCAGCTGCGCCTACTGCGGACGGAGGAGCGCCCAACTCATCTGTGAAAACGGAACCTTTTCCATGAACTGAGATGTCGAAGTAATGTACACCTCACCTCCCACATCCTGGACACACCTGGGTGGCCTTTACCATTCTGCCTTGTCACCCGGGCCTCTCCTCACTTTGGCCATGACACGCCTTGAAGCCGGGGCACCCCATTCAGGGGAGGGCCTGCCCCCCAGCCTGAGTCAACAAAGTGAACAAGCGTCCTCTCCAGCTCTGACTTCCAGGTGCTGATGACTTTTATCATGGAGGAAAGAATTTGCCCCCAAACAGCTTTTTAAATGGATACAGTTCAGAACTGCCGTGACCAGGGCGCTGACCATGCCAGAGCAGACAGGCTGCTCCCGGAGGGTCGAGACACCAGGAGGCAGCAGCCTGTCGGGAAATACAGGAGTGGACCAAGCGGCAGGCAGTGAGTCATCCAGGGCAGGGGTCTCCGGGGGGCGGGGAGCAGCCGTCCGCACTGGCGCGCTCCTGTGGCCGGCTCAGACCAGGGGAGGCGCCATGCCTACCGGGACAGCACACTGTGGAGCAGTGATCGGCCGGGAGCGACACTCGGAACCACGGCAGGCTGAGAGCGAGCTTGCCTCAAGGCTTCAGGCAGGAGTGAACAGGACAGAGACCGTCCCGGCGGAGGCGGGGCTACGGGGCTCCCCCCCCCCCCCCC